GAATTATTTGACTGTGATTCTAAATGTGTCTATGTTGAATCTAAATATATTTTATTTTGAATAAGAATTATTTGATGTATTTAAAATATTAAAATGTCTTTAAAGTATTAAGTTGACACATAAAGTGAATGATGTTCTCGAAGAAGAGAATTTCAAGAGTGCCGTAAGGAATTTCTGTATTAATAATTTCTGGAATGCAGCACGAGATCGTCTTCGGAGCGATAACTGTAATAGGACTCTTGAGCAGGCCGTGCATATAAAAAGTAATAAATATATAATAAATATAATAAATATATAAATAAAAATAAAAAACAATAAAACTAAATATATAAAGTATGTTATGCTTCAGCTATTTTTTCAACTAAATTTCACACTTTTCCTACGGATTAATGATTAATGATGCCTGATATATGATAAATGAGTTGAGCTACTGAATGCAGTTATTATTGATTTTGCCCTAATTTGCTGCTGAAATGAATTTGATCGTTTCTTGGCCACGCTTATGAAAGTTACCAAAACCAAAGAAAAGACTTAAATTCCAAAAAGAGAAACAAAAATATAAATTGAAATAAAGTAAATCTTATTTATTTGCTAGAATTCTAAGAAATATGGCTACATGTATTTTGCCCTCAAGATTTATTACAACACACATTAATATCAAAGAAACTGAACAAATATTAATAATCGTAATAGAATGAATCATTTTAATTATATTACATATACCTATATATACATATGTTTGTTTTCCAAGCACTTTCAATAATGTAGTTTCTGTGAACAAGAATCGTACGAGTTTATAAATTCAGTTCAAGCTATAAAAGTGGTGTAAAGCCCTATTTAAATTCCCTTGTTTTTGGAGTTTAGTTTATTTTTCCGGGAATGCTCATAAATAATTGCGCTAAAAACTAAATGCTGGAAAGTTGTTTTTTGTTTGGGCAACACTTGGCCAAATGGATTGTTGTTGCTCTCATAATGATGATAATTACACTGTGTGTGTGCGTGTGGATAGCTGTGTGTGTGTGTTTGTGTGTGTATGCACTGTAAATGTTAATTTCTCATGGGTATTGTGGATGCCGCCCACTACTCTAACAAACTACAGCAAATTTGGGCACACAGTTGAGTTGCCGAGCTCGCAATTTGACGCCGTTTCCATTAGTTTTGGCCAGTTAAGCCGCATTTTTGCCTCTTCTATGCCTCACACTTGTTCCTGCCCACAAATTTAGCAAATATTTGTCTTGCACTTAAGTAAATTGCAAAAAAATCTAGTCACTTGTTGCCAATTAAGTAGCAACAGCAACTAATATCCACAACAGCTAAGCAGACAGCAACAGATCAAGATCTGGAGATGTGCACGTGACACGACCGTAAATCAATAGATCTCAAACAATATCATAAAGCATTTCTCTTTCAGTCAAAAAGTGCCCATCAATTTGATCAACTCGAAACATAAAATGCCGCAAAGCTTTAGCGAAAAGCTTTATAATTATTTCCGCAACAAAGATCCATAAAACACAATAAAATAATTTCATTTAAGTGGTTAATTGGCTGTAAACTCGAATAGCGGACATAATTAATGATGTTCGCCCAAAAAGCAACTTAGTGAAATTACGTTTAGATAATTATAAAAAAAGTTAATATATGTATCTAAAAATATGTATAAATAGAGAAGTATTTGCACAGCTTTTTATTAAATGATTCTTAAATTTACAGACATTTTAATATTATAGTTCATCAGAAATAACTGTTAAGGGAGCAAATATTAATAGTATTTATAGAAGCTTTTTATTAAATGATTCTTAAATTTACAGACATTTTAATATTATAGTTCATCATAAATAACTAATAAGTGAGCAAATATTAATAGTATTTGAACTCTTAAAATCACGAGACTGATAAATTGCCATTGATAAAGTGGAATCACTAAGGTATCATAAGAACTATAATTGTTTCACGCACTAAACGTGATTTGTATGTATTATCATTTCGGGCCTTGTTGACATAAGATCGTGTCACGTGCTCGTCTCTTAACATATCAGGAGTCTGTGTCAGCCACTCAGTTCGTCAGGCCGTCAGTTAGTTACGACAACGGTCAACAGCCGCAACTCCAATTGCTGGTCGCCATCTTCAGCTGCATCGCTGTCGCAGTTGGCGTCGCTGTCAGCGTCGTTATTTCTGCAGTCGTGTCAATTAGCGCCGCTGCTGAAGTCTGTTTATTTGCATGCAGCAGCAACAGCAATTGCAGATTTTCCTTCTCATAATACACTTACTCGAGGTGTTACGGATATCTCACTATGTCCGTGACTCGTGAAAGCAGAAGAACTGTGCTCTTAATATGCATACCTAGATATTAGTTAGATACTCAACATTAGAACTTATGAATATATTTTGCAAAGAAATCTTCGAATAATTCACTTTATCTATAAGATCTCGTTAGCTTGACTTAATAAAGGTATACAAAAGAGAGAGCGAGGGATATTAATTAATTAACATATAATATATTAGACATAAAAACTTGTGCTTCAAAAATCTTAAACAAAATTAAATTGAACTTACATACTTCAGCCCACTGAGACCTTATCAAATGCAAGAGCATTCCATATTCCACACTCAGAAGTTTTCTCTTTTGTTTTTCGCCTTCAATTTTACGCCTTTGCGCCTTTGGCTTGCGTTTGGGGCACATGTGATGTGATATAAAGCAGAGATGGATCCGTTTCGGTTAGCCAAACAAAAAATCATTTTCTGAACTCTTTAATTGCGTTTGGCTACTCCCTGCTCTTGTTGTTTGTGTTGTTGTTGTCGTCGATGTTGTTATTGTTGACTGCTTGGCTTTTGCATTTAATTACTTTGTTTATGGCCAGTAGCAGCAGCAACAATAAAACTTCAATTTATGTGCATGCAGTGGGGCAGCCGGGCAGCCGGGCTGCACGAGCACTGAATGCTGTTAAATTCCAATGCACAAATTGACAGGCCACCCAAACGCAATCCATCCCCTTCAATCCCTCTGGTTCACTGTCCCACCTAACCGACCGACCGAGCGCCCGCCCGCCCGCATAGCTGCTTTTGTTATGTAAACAACGCGAAAAGTTTTTATTTTGTCGACGCTGCAACGCCTTCGCAGCCCCCAACCCTGCCGCCGAGCAAAACTCGTACAATTCGAAATCCGTATGCCAAACTCTTGGGGTAGCAAAAAACTTTTTCTTTCCGACCGGCCGCCCACTGTACGCAGTCGTACAAATAACTCAACTCGCTGAATGCTTTGCAATTTCCGCTCTTCTAAATTTGTTGAAAATTTGCGAGGCGAACGCACAAAATAAAAAAACGTTCCGCAAGAACTTCTCAGTTGATAACTTCTGACTTGACAATACCCTGGTCTAGATGGAACATGAAGTGGCTCTGGAAATGATCAATTTTTGATCACATCTCATGTAAGAATTGACATGAAATGAAATGCAGAAAAACCTGAAGACTCGTTGTATAAATATATATAATATATATGCATATTTATATTTATATATATTTATACATATATGTATAAATATATAGATTGAGTGTCACATATACCCTTTCAGTCCACTTTGCAACAGAGTATTGAAAAGGAGCAATGTGCTGTCGGTTTGTCGGTTTGACAAGGGAAAAGCTAAGTTTTGTTTGGCAAAAAGTTTTATGCAAACACAACACAAGTTCATCTACCTCGCTCTCCCTCCAGGTCGCACTTTTGGAGCGGACAAACTGACTGCCCAGCCTTGCGTAATATTTTAATAAATTTTTGTCGCCAGTCTTGGGAGGAGGGCCAACAATGGCTTAGCGTTAGCCTCTGCCCAGGTTATAACCAGGCTTCGTGTTGGGCTCCTAAAGCGCCTGCGTCGCAATTAGTGAAGTGCGTGACGAAATTTGATCGATCTTCATCAGGAATCAGTCGAAATGAACGAATGCGCACTTTCAATGAATTGTTCTTTAGCTGGTTTCTCACTTGATTTTTGCAGCGCGACGCAATTTCCATGTCAAAGCTGATTTTCTAACTGATTTCGTGCCCATACACACAGAGCCATGCACAAAGAGCTGGCCAGCAAATTTCTAGTTTCAATCATGTTGTGTGTCGCTTGGCTCGTGTCCTGGTGGTGGCGCTGGCGGCGCCACTGATGTGGTAATAAACACCCCTTGTGCAGTCTAATGGACCGTAATTAACTCGTGCGCCAACTGCGGCAGCGCTGTCAACGCCAGCTGCGGCGTCGCCGTCGTCGTCGTCGTCGTCGTCGTGTGGTCGTTCCCAACAAGCGATGAATAATAATTTCACCAGGACAGCTAACCACAGCGCGCACAGTGGACAATAATGGCAGTTAAATGGCCAAAATAATTCGTTGGCCAATTCAATTTGCATATTATAACCATATATGTGTATGTGCATACATATAGACCATAGCCCATATGTTGAATGGCATGTGCTGGCTCATAATCTTGTCGAGATTGCGTCAAAGTAATTGCGCCTTTTGATGTCGTCCAAAGCCAATGCCACTCCATAAAACTCCGATTTATTGTTGCGTAGAAATTTATGAGTTGTCATTGCTTAGTTATCGATAATTAAGCCACAACAGCTGGAATATGAACTGGACATTGCGTCATAATAATCTGCTGCCCTAGTCCATGCGCTTGAACGTTGAGATAATTCGTTGAGAGTATCTAAGACTCAGGACAGGTAGCTAAAGAGAGCGGCGACTCCTTGATCTATACCCCACACCCAAACCGCAAACATTGAGCAAAAAGGAACCGTAGCAAAAAGAATTCCGCCCTAGAAAATGGTTTGCCAACTGACAGCAACAATTGCAGCAATTCCGGGAAAGGCAATAATAGAAGCATGTGGACGAAATCGTGTACTTTGGCTATTGAAATTCAAAAGTGAAATTATTAAAGATTATGAAATTATGTACATTTACTGATAAAATTGATTTCCCCATTTAACATAATGTATTGAGTGCTTATATATTACTTTTTATAACTTCCAGATACTACTTCAATCGCAGCATCTATCCCTATTTTTGAGCTATATAAGAAGGTAAATCATTCACAAATATCTATATATTTTATTTTTATTTAATAAACAAGGAATTTAAGCTCTCTTTCTGGCTTCTTCATGTAAAATCTTAAATAATAATAATCGATAAATCGATAACTTTTTGCACACTATTTTTGCAATCAACTCATTGCTTATTCTCTCAGATCTAAAAATGTCAACAGTGTAGTTCCTGACTTATATTGAATATTAAGTGGCTTTGATAATTATATTCGAATATGCAAATTAATCTAATCGGAGAGTCAGTAGGGGTTTACAAAGACTAAATATTTGTATATTGGATAAATCATATATATATATAAAATTTATGAATTAACTCCAACAAAATTGGTCATTGATTTCTTACCATTGTGCTTGACTGCTGTTGTTATCGTTGCTGCTGTTGATGGCAGGGTGCTGTTGCTGCTGTAGTAGTTGCTGCTGTTTGCGTGACGGATATTGCCTTGTCACTTGCATGTACGAGAAATGTTAAAGCGTGGAGCGAGTTGGGCTACCAGCTGACTGCTGCCTGCCTTCGTTTTTTCCAACTCTTTGCCGCTGTCCATGCTATGGGTAAACCGAAAGGCCGAACAAACGACGACCACTAACCACAGCGCGCCAATCAACGCACTGAAGTTATCCAACAAAGTGGGCTACAGCAACAACTAGGAATCTGTTGTTATACCGTTCGAAAGTTATGCAAAAATTTAATTAATTTTGCAATTTGCCTAGTCAAGCAACGACAGCGGCGACAGCAACAGCAACAGCAACTACGACAACAACAGCCAGCGACACTTTCCTATCTGCTATCGAAAAATTACGATGATTACCATTATGGCCACTAAGCTCGGGCGTAGCCAAAGTAAGGCGATTTGGCTGACGACTATTATAAATACAAATTTAATGAGCGTGACATATGCAGCAGCAGCAGCAGCAGCGACTAGTCTTTAATGCGATTATATGGCAGCGGCACATTTGTCATTTAGTAGGGGTCCATTCGGCTATGTGTGTGTGTGTGTGTATGTGTGGCAGCTTAAACAAATCAAGTCAAATTACTGCAATGCTAAAGAAGAATCTGTAGCAGTCAGCCAACTGGCAACTGGCGACCGACGAACGACGAACGACGAACGGCAACCGGCGACCGGCGACTCTTGTACCAGTTACAATGAACGTTTGTGCGCATCCGTAAGACACATTGTGCTGCAGCCAGGCAGGCAATTGCATGGCCAGCGTACATAACTTCAACTTTATTTGTTGGTCTCTCTAGCTCGCACAGTGTGGCATGCGGGCCACTGCAGCAGAGTAGCTGCCACAGCACTAGCAACTGCAGCAGCAGCAGCAGCAGCCGTTGCTCATTAAGTGCCACTCTACGACAGTTGTCGCTAATGCCGCTGGCATGCCAACCGCACCCCGGACTGTGTCGCCCCAGCCTGCCTCCGCCTCCAGTTAGTGCCAGCGGGGTCGTCGTCACGGACCAAGCTGGGGTTACACACAGTCAACGTAAATTTGCAAATATTTGCTGAAATCAGACGACGACAAATGCAGCTCTGTCGTTGCATGTGCAGCAGCCAGCAGCCAGCAGTCAGTAGGAGAGCAAGGGTTAAGGGGTTACTAGTCACTGATGAGGGGTGGGTACTGAGGGGGATGCAAGTCCGCATAGGCATGCCTGGCATGGCAGTTAAGTTTCTGTTGTTGTTTTTTTTGTCTCGAACCAAGCAGAGTTTTTGGCGCCCGGGCTGCAGCCAACTAACTGCGGCTAAAACGAGTGTTAGTTGAATGTACTACAGTGAAGAGTCGAGAAGTGGGCAGCAGAAGCGGTAAGAGGCTTAGGGGTTAGGGGTTAAAGCTTAGTGTGTAACCCACTCAGAGCAACAACTGCAAATAGATTTAACACTTGAGCGCCAAACGAAGGAAGCCTCAACATGCCGAAGAGATTGCGAGAATGAATTTAAGTAAAGCTTTAGTCCTAGGTGTTAGCTAAACGAACGAACAGCAGCAGGATCAACAATAACTCTATATATATACATCTATATATATATATATATATATATATATATATATATATATATATATATATATATATACTATGCGTTAACTCAGCTGCAAAATGAGTGGAAATGTTTCGGCTTAACTGAGCATGAATATTAAGAGGGGGTACAAAACTCAGAGAGACTTTTTTCGCTCACCTATTTCTTGGCAGTTGGTTAAGCTTGAGCTAAATGAAAGTGGAAGGAATTTCCTTTGCTTTGCAAAAGTCGAAACTAACAATAAAATAAAAGTTTTTAGAAAACTCAAATAATAAAATATAAAATTTCAAAATTCTTCTTTAAAACTTGAGTTATTTCTAAATTCAATTTTTATCAGACTTTAATATGCATTTCCACCTGCAATTACAAAATATCTAATTTGTTTTCGGCAAGTACAAAAATTATTTTATTTATTTTAAACTGCAGAAAATATGTATATTAACTTAATAATTTTCATGTATAATTTAAATTAAAATTACGAAATTTGCATAAAAATTTGTAATTTTAATTAAAATTTGTAATTTTAATTTTAATTTTTTAAATTCAATTTTAAATCAAATTAAGTTTAATTACATAAATTATTTTAATAAACTACAGAAAATATGCCATTCATTTTTAATAATTTGCCTGTAAATTATAGTACTATTTATAAACAAATAATTGAATAAAAGTCCTTTACCCAATGGAATTCCTTCGAATTTAGTTATAAATATCGCTTATTATAAATAGTTTCAAGTTTTATTAAAATATCTGTTGACATTTAAAGGTTTCATAATAAGAAAGTTGAAAGGTTGGCAAATGACATTTATCCGAAGGCTTACGAAATTAACTTAAAAGGAAAAATACCGCTGTTAAGTTCCTTGAAAAAATAAATATTTAATTTATCTCGATAAATATTTAAGGTTATGTTCAGAAAAATTGGAGAGGAAAAAGGAAAAAGAAGAAAATTTCTCCGATGGGTCAGAACTACGAAAAACACCGTTCCTTTCGGTAACAGTTAATTATTTGAATTATTTTTTATTGTTTAGATATTTAGAAAGATTTATTGAAAATAGGCTATTCAAAAAATATTAGTGCTGGACGTAAGGAGTGTAAAAAATAAATAACAACAGTTTCTGTATATATAAATACATAATATATGTAATATATAACATTTTTTACTAAATATATAAATATATATAAGTATATATTTATGCAGCACTAATATTTCTTTGAGCGACCGATTTCAATACATTTATCTAAAAAAAAGATTAATTAAAAACATTAATTAAAATAATTTTTTATGTATTCGATTTTTTCTTAACTTCATTTAATTTTATGCTGATCGTCCCAATACAATCATAAATAATATTTATATTATTATATAACAGAACCTCAGTAATAGTTCTTTAAATATGCATTATCTGGCGTTATCTTTGCATAAATTGTTTGTCTTGATTGACAATCCCCAAAGTTAAATATTGATTTTAAGCCGGAAACACTTGTCAACTGAGATTTTTTGTGGCATGTGAAATAATAAATTATCATGGGGCATTTCCTATACTTTGTAGCGTTGTAACTTTGGAATCGTTTCGAAACCATAATTAACTACCGTCGTAATCCAAACTGTCTTCTTTTGAAGGTTGCGTGTGTGAGCCACAAGTCAAAGAACCAAGGCAAATGCCTTTCTTTAGAAATATTTGTACAATAAGCAAATGGAAACCGTTTAATAAGCACTCATTGTGTCTTACCTGCATTGACCCACTTGCTTTATGGGTATGAGTCAGAATGCAAGTATATGAATACCACACCATACCATGCCTTACCGTACCATACCATAAGTATCGTGTAATTTGTATTTTAAACACAACAAACCATAATTTAAAATGTGAGCGCAACTCAAAGTTCTGAATGTAGCGAATGGCAGGGAGTCCACGTAAGAAGGAGAAGTCGCTCTCTTTCACTGTGCGTGCAGTTTATCAAAGGACCGATGTCTGGGATCGGGGCAATGAAAATGAATTACACGACGGTAACCTGCAGAGTTTGCGGCAGTTGTTAAAAATTATTATTAAGTATTTGCCGTGGTGCGCTGTCTGAAACAAAGGCCAAGCTTTTAAATATTTAATAAGTACACAAACAGACCCCAAAGGAGAAGCCAGCTGTTGAGCGAGTATCGAGGCATTGAGGAAGAGTATGCCATTTATATATATATATAAATATATTATATATGTTATATATATGTATTGGGCATGACTGTTGTTGAGTCATGTCAATTGGGCTTTGGGTTGACTGACTGACTGGGCGTCCCGCAGCGACTCGGAAAGTGGAATCAATACCCAGGCTCTGGCTGCCCGCTATGTATGTACTTGTAAGGATACACATACATTGAGAGCTATACAGACATACACACACATATATACACACACACATACTCACAGGCACACTTGTGCGCCCACTAACGGTGACAATAAATGAGTAAAAATGACTTTCAACGAAACGAAAATCGACGCCCCGGCGGACAGAAAATCTGTCATCAACACGCACTCGACTGTGGGCCCATTGTGAAAGCCATGAAATTTGATACCAATGCGCATGGAGGACCATCCAACAACAACGTCAGAAACAACAACAACACGGATACAACAGAGACAAGTTAAAGTGCCCCAGTGAAGAGTGCTTGACTAGAAGATGCCCAGCACCTGTTTGGAGTGCTTAAAAAGTATGACGATTTATTAAAAGGAAAAGCTATTAAAAAATGTATACTTCGTGTGAATCTATTTGGAAAATATCAATTTCCCCAGCTCATATAATGTTCAAAGCAGACAATAGCTTCAACAAGTTACTTCTGCTTATCATTTAATAATAATTACAATACATTTCGAATATGTGAAAGAGCTTTATAAGCTTAAATTAGCTAGCTCTCATGGATCTTGACAGATCTGAGGAAATGGAAATAGTGAATTTTGGTTCATGAAATCTGAACTTACACAAGATATC